AAACATCCAAATTTTTGTTTTGTTCAGGTTTACCTTCATACCATGCAATTTACAAACGTTTTCCAGAACAACAATTTGCTCCTGGAATCTGAAAACATTGTCCTATAAATTTGCAAACTTGTCAGCAAATACTGTAGCAAGCTACGTATTAGGTCAATTATTCTCTCAGTCTGCCATTACGTCCTGCATCATTCATCATAGATATAGACTCGTTCAAAAACCATGCAGCGATGCCTTGTGCCACTTTTCTAGTCAAAAAAGTTGGTTATACCACCCTCACTTTTAACACATGCATTCAATTTAGAATATAGTACACTGACTTTAAGACAGTGTGGTTTGCCTTCTACTCCATTTTAAATCAAACATAATACAAAAGCATGTGTTGAATGCTATCAAAAGCTGTTTTAAAATCCACAAAAATACAATACAATCTATATTCATTTCTGCATATATTTCTGGACAGCAGCTTGAAAAATAAAAAAATATTGTCAATAACGTTTCCTGTATCCAGTTTGTTCTTCATATAGCTTGTCATGCATTTCTGTGAACTCAGTCAACCTGTTATTCAGTATTTTCATGAATATTTTTCCCATTATGTCAAGAAAGGATTATTTTTCTTCTTTCGACTTTTTCCTCTTCAGGGGTAGCCACAGCAAGTCATCCTTCTCATATCATTCAGTTCTCTGCATCCTCTGTCCTCACTCCAACTATGTACCTATGTGTCCTCTCTAACTGCATCCATATATCACCTCTTTGTCTTTTCCTGGCAGCTGCATTTCTAACATCCTTTTACCAGGATACCCACTGTCCCTCCTCTGGACATGTCCAAACCATCTCAGTCTGGTCTCTCTAACTTTATCTCTCAGTTGTTCAACCTGTGCTGTACCTCTGATGATCGCATTCCTAATCTAATCTATCCTCGTCACTCTCAAGGAGAACCTAAACATCTTCATTTCTGCCACTTCCAGTTCTTTCTTCTGTTTTTTTGCCAATGCCACTGTCTCCAAACCATTCAACATAGCTGGTCTCAGCACTGTCTTATACACTTTTTGTAATCTTTGGATCTCTGGCCCACCTTCTCTAACCTCTGCACCACCACTCCCACTTGTGCTACTTTTATCCGATGACCACTGCTGGTCTTCGACTAACAGTAGCTCAATATCCACCAGCACCTGGTTTGTCAACATCACTAACATGGGCCTCAATCAATCTGGTATGATATCACCTAGATGAACTTGCATATTAGTTGTGACCAAAGTGTTTTATGTCAGATGCACTTCCTGGCACAACCTTCAGCACTTACCTGGTCATAGGACCGGCACAATAAATACACTGGCGTTTGTTCCCTAGTGGGTGATTTTATTATGCCAACTAAGGATATGCCTCTATAATTATTTACATCACACCTGTCCCCAATTTATACAATGGACATGCATATGACTGCTAAACACCAAAATTTGGGAAACTGTCTAAATTCTAAAACCCTTTAACAAAGGGATAAACGGTATGGTTCTAGAATGTGTAAAGATAACTAACGTTTCTATTACAATACGTTTTGAACCTGGAGCCTTGCTGTTATGCAAAAGGTAAACTGTTTGCAAGAGCTCATCCTGAATAATGAACCCATCAAGATCTGGATTAAGGAAAGCAGTGGCATCATGGTTCTCTACTACTTCTGAAACGGCGTTTTTAAATCCACCGTCCACAGTGAAGATATTGTTTTATTTAACATTACAGGTTATACAGGTAGTCTCACTGAGTCACAAGGACTAATTTTCAAAAGCAACCTGTTTGGGAGCAAATGGTGGAGGTTAAGGGCCTTGCTCAAGGGTCCAAAGTGGGGCAAATGAGGGTGGAGGCAGGTGTGGGTGCTTCACCATTTCCACCCACATTTTGATGCTGTTGGTTCGTGGAGTCAAACTGGCGGCCTTCTGATCCCCAGTCCACCTTCTCTAACCTCTGCGCCACCACTCCCCCAGTCACAAGTCCCAGTGCATTAACAAGAACTTAAAATGTGTAAACCACTGACTAGATATAATGTCCATGTCTATATTTGTGCTAAATCTAATGGCGTTTCTCATTTGTTGCCACAGTTGTTGAGTATTACTAAAAGTTTCATCAGATAGATTCATAGAAAATATTTATGTTTCTTTAGGCAACATGCCTTTTTGAAATCATCTTTCAAATGAAAGTACTGTATCTAGCCTTATCAGCAGGGTGGTTGCTTCTTCAAAATATAATGTGCAGTATTCTTTTTTCATTTCATATTGTGACAGTTCTTGTCCCACCATGCTGGTTGAGTGCATGTATTTGAAAGTTTTGCTCTCAGAAACATTTAATTCCCAGCTTCCAACAAGGTTTACTATCAACTGCTTCATCAACATTGCTCATTAAGATGTCATATCTATTTTTGAATAGCTGATGATATATTATTAACAAAAAATGCTTTGAAATCTTATTTCCATCTTCATATCTTCCATGGATGACAGCTAAGTTTCTGGTATATAGGGTCTGATTTTTATCAAAAGTGCAGACAATGGGAAAGTGGTTAGACATATCATCACACACTTCAAAGGTCTGTACACATGAAAAAAAAGATTTGTAGAGATAATAAAGTAGTCAATGGCACTCTGTCTCATGGATGATAAAAACATATAATTTCCATCCTGGTCTAAGCCACACTTGTCATTTACAAATGAGATGAGATCTCAATGCGATCTCATTTCAATGATCTCACTCATTGAGATCTACTGTAATCAATGAGATGACACTAAGCTGTTCACAGTCTCATCCTTCGAGGACATTAATGTTTTAAAGTCATCACTGTCATAGAAGTTGTCACAAAGTAAGTAAGCTGAGTTGTCTCCCTCTATGTGGTCTCTCTTTATACTAGTCCTGACATTCAGATCACCTGTTATTATTATCAGCATATCATCATCACCCAGTAAGCCAAGAGTTGCTAGAATGTCATTTTCCAAAGAAAGTATTCCATTCTCTTCGTCTCGAAAATAATACACTGTTGATCCTTCAGGGAATATACTGTATATGTGCAGCATAGCAATGTGTGCCTACAAAACACGTTATCTCTATCAGTATACAAAAATATACAGTCAATAGAAAACACACTGACACGTGTAAACATATGCACAGCAGAGTCTTGTACAAAAACACATAGACAACCAACATTTCTACCATATCTACTCACACAATCATCCATCCATGCATCTATTATCTTAAACCGCTTCTTCCTTTTTGGGTCATGGGGGTCGCCAGTGCCCATGTCTAGTAATCACTGCATGATAGGCGGGGGACACCCTGGACAGGTCGCAAGTCCATCACAGGGACACATAGAGACAAATGAGACAAACAACCATTCACTCTCTCACTCACACCTAGGGACAATTTAGAGTTACCAATCAGCCTAACATGCATGTTTTTGGTCTGTGGGAGGAAACTGGAGTACCCGGAGAAAACCCATGGAGAGAACATGCAAACTCCACCCAGAAAAGGTCTCGGACCAAGATGTGAACCAGGGTAACCTGCTCGCTGAGAGGCAGCAGCTCTGACAAATTTGTTAATGCTACTGCCCCATGTTTCTGTGAGACATAGAATGGGATGTCCAAACACTGTTCGATGAAAATTCCTGTTGCTTTATTTAGACCGTAAACCATTGACATTCCAAAACAGACAGCTGGACAGTCAGTGTCAAAATCAGGGCCGGGGATGAGTACGTATCCGTGGGACCTATCCAACTCAACCACCCATTCTGTTGCAAAGTCATAAAAAATACAAACACTTTTGCATGAAATACTGGATTACAGTAATTTCTATTTAGTTTAATGTCTGTTGGTGACTCAGAAAATGTTTGGTTACTTGGGGCATATGAGGCTTTTAAAGATAGGCAAACATGTTTTTTTATCTTTATAAGTAATGGTATGCACAACAACAAATATGTAAAGGCTTATACTGTGTTAAATACTCATTGATTCTGTGCTCTGGTAATTAATTGTTATGTGATTATTTTTGCTGTGGAGCTGTGGGCCTGAAGGCCTTGCTGAATGTAATACGTTTGACTTTTGCCTTGACTTTCAACACATAAAGGGTATTTTTCATCTTTTATTTTCTAAGATCAACTGTGCGTGACAACAGTGTGAACCTACTGATAAAATGACCTTGTGCCTCAATATTAGAAAGATCCCCAAGTTGAACGCAAGTACTAATCTATTCTAAATCAATTTTTTCCCCAGATATCTTTGGAAACTTTGTGACAGTTTTTCTCAAACCATATGAATATTACTCCATTTCTATTAGCCTCCTAACCACCAAATGCTGGTGGTGGAAACACCACACCTCATGAAGTTTTCTTTTATAATTAATGCACAAAACTTAACAAGCAGGATATTTCAATTTCACTTATTGTTTCTTGGCACAACAAGGAGTAGTGTTAAAAATGATCTCTGGAGGAAGTGGAACCCGAAAAAATGTTACAGAAAGTTTTAGTGTTGCTGATTCTGCCTGAATCCTTCTAGTTTGGGGGGGGTCTCAGGTTCATTTTTTTAATATGCCTTGGCAGCCACCATATTATAATAACCTCATCTGCCAGCATTCCAAATTAATTAATACAAGTGGAAAAATCCTCCTCCCCCATCTACAAAGCGCTCTCTGTTCTCGGTGGTGCTTCCTCCTCGCAGAGATTTTTGAACCCGTGTCAACTTCAAATTGCATGAAAACAGGCTCATGGCATAAAACGATGGCACAATACATTGGCGACAGCAAGTCTTGAATGATTCACTTGATACTTTCCTCCTCCGCATTTTGCAGTTTGAAAAGGAAACTTGCAGAAATACATATGCAAAAGGCCAAGCAGAAAAACAACTCTCCAGCTTGAAGTCTCTGGGTTTAATCCTGGCTCTCTCCTTTATAAATGAAAGAACGTTTTGTTATTTGTTTCTGTCTGAGTCCTGTTATGGTTTTTCAACTTGTCCTACCTGTTGTCTTAGGATAGCCTCAAGGCCCTCAACCCTGAACAGGAGAAAGCGGATATTGAGAGTGATATGTGGAGTGTGTGTTGTAACAACTAGTTTTTCCGTCTTTGTTTATCATTTAGTGACTGACTACCATTTTGTCCTCCTCCCTGTCGTCTTTAGGGTCTGCGAGCTGCGGACAACGACCCCACAGCTCCTCCGTATGACTCCCTGCTGGTTTTTGACTATGAGGGCAGTGGCTCCACCGCCGGCTCTGTCAGCTCTCTCAACTCCACGAGCACGGGGGACCAGGACTATGACTACCTCAATGACTGGGGCCCACGCTTCAAGAAGCTGGCTGACATGTACGGGGGAGGGGATGATGATTAAACCCACCCTGTCACATGCACACACACCTTTGTCCTGTCAGCTGGCCTGCCACGCTCTGACCCTGCAACACATGGGGCTGTTACAATCTTCTCGAACGCACGTTATCAGTTCACTCTGACCAAACAACCAATCTGATAACCCACCAGTGCCATGGGTCCGTTTCGACCGGCTTCTGCTCTAAGCCCATCTAAGACTGTAATGGATGCACTTGTTTGCCGGCTTTTCACATTATGTATTCTCAAACTCATGCTTTGTTTCACTATAGTTTTCCTATGCTGGGTGTTGACTTGAGTTACTTTATTCAAGTTTTGTTTCTATTTCAGTTTGTAGCTTCTTTTTTTTTTGTCCTCAGTCCCGTTTGATTCAGAATGTTCTCTATTCCTGAGGGTTTTCACTTTTCCCTCACTGTGAGCCGCCCCGCCTGTCTCTCTGAAGAAGCTTTAAGTTGAGCTACTTGCTGTTTCTGAGGCAAACAAAAGTGAATATGGAGATAACATGAATATGAAAGTCCTTCCTTACATGGAGGGCCCAGGTTTAGTCTTTCCTGAACTTGAATTACTTAGAACAGAAGCACTGTTGTTTTGAAAAAAAAAAAAAAAGTGCCTTCAGTGGTGCATATTTTAGCAGACTTCTGCTAACTCAGGATTGGTTGCCATTCTCTGGGCTTACAACCCCCCCCCCCCCCCCCTGTGCCCCCCTCCCTCCCTTAACCCTTTAATTCAGACCTCCCTCTCATCATTTTTCCCAAATGGCAAGGCTGTGATGGCTGCAGGAGTGCTGGATTCACAGGAGCAGAGACTGGCTTTAGGGAGCGCTTCATGTAGACGCACTGTACATAGGCCTACAGTGAGTCTGTAAGCCACAGACAAATCATTAGGTTTCCAAGCCAGAGGGAAAGAACTGTGCTCCTATAACAGCCAACTTGAATGTGATTGCTGAAATCACACAAATACGTAACGACGCTGTGTTAGCGAAGAAAAGCATTGTGCGTCTTTGTCTCTTGTGGCTACAGCAGCTGTGTTTGTTTTGAGCTCTTTGCATCTAAAACTTGATGAGGCTAAAGCTGAAGGCTGACGAGTCGAATGCGTCACTTCGACTGAACTTACACTGCATATGAGGGGTTTTGCCACAAAGATCATCTAACATTTGCATGACTCATTCTTCAGTTCATAATTTAATGTAACGCCGAAGATTTTTGTGAAATATTTGAAATTCTAATCCTGAAAGGCAAAAAAAGTTCAAACTGGATTTATGTTTGCACTGGTAGGTGACACAGACAACTGTGACTTTGTGCTCGGTCCTATTCTGAGTCACCTTATTACCACCTATTTATGCTTTTATTGACCCAAAGTTCACGTACCCACTTTGGTGTTCATCCACATTAGGAACTCTCACAATTTGTCACTCTTTAGGCAGCAATTTCCTAAAATGTCTACTATCAAGGTAGGTAAAGAGAACATCTGAGCAATGCCTGTGCATGATTTATCAAAAGCAAAAAGGCTTTATTAGTAACAGTCTTCACAAGTAACACACTGAAATGATTTTTCAGTCTCATACCGGCTTCTATTAATAGAAACTGTGGTGTAAAGGGACCTGCTGGAGGTTAGGTTACCTTAGCCTGTTTTATTGAATTATTTAAATATGCAAAATGTTCAGTTAATTCACCACATAAATGCTGCTGAAGGTTAAAATATTTTAATCACTCTTTTTCCTCTGAGGTCTTATTGAAAGGCTCCTTAATTGTGGATGTTTTTTCCTCGTGGTTATCGTTCCAATAATTCATTAAGAAAACATCAGCTACTTGTTCTGTCTTTAATCTGCTTTTTATCAGCTGTTCCTCAGCTACTACCTGTTTATTTGGATAAAATATAATTCAAATAGTTTGGTTCAACTTCTGGAATAAACTAGAGCAAACTTTTTTCTCGATGGCATTACTGGAAAGGTTAACTTGTAAAGGTAAGATGATTAAAACCAAAATGTGAGCATGATTTGACTTTAAAGATTCAAGGAAACAACCCAGTGTAAATACAAAGGTCAACAGGGTCTCTTTGGTTGGATGTCAAAGGTCGATGAGTATAAATTGCTCCACAAGTGGCGTTCATCAGGACAAGTGTCATCAGGACAGAGCTCACTGCAACATGCGCCCATATCTGACTCAGCCTCCAGAATAAACACAGCTGCCACGTTTTCTGCTACCTGTGATTATTTCTGACACATAAATGTTGTATATATGGAACATTTTGATACATGTGGTGACATCTGAGGTATTTTTTTGTGTGTAGTCTTTTTACTCCATGATATTTTTGTTTCAAATGAATATCTGGCAAATTATATTTCACCAAAAGCCATGTGCATTTATTAGGATTTGTATAATTCTGTATGGGCTAACAGCCAAACTTTTATTGCTTCATCTTGGCAAGAGGTTTCCACTCCAAACTGACTTGTACAGACTTGACACTCACTCCTCTAGGCCTTACTGTATATATGTCAGAGTTCTATATATGAGCCCAGTAAACAGTGTTTTCATACAGCGGAGGAGCTGCAACGTTACTGACGATCATCCTGCACCTGCAGAGTGAAGAAGTGCTGCTTCACTAAGACAGAACAGTTTCAAACACTTTACACAAGGCAAATGACCTTTATTACTGTGTCATACATGCATACATGACACAATGCCACCATGATGCTGAACGCTGTCAGACTCAGTTGGCAGCAAGTCACCAATGCAGTGGGTAAAACCTGACCCCAAAGTTCAATTTGTGAGCAGAAATGTGGTGAGATTGATTATTTCTGGGCACATATTTGGTCTGTTTCTTGTTTTGTTCATGAGGTGAGAATTAACCAAGGAGGAGAAGCTCTTCTGCCATAATTCAACCCTTAGTTCTGTCTGGTGCTGGTGTTACTCACATTTGCTGGCCATGATGGACGTCGTCTAACCACGAACACATGACAGGAAACTCCAACAGATGCCAAACTTTTGTCTCGCTTTGGACAGAAACCTTAATATAGGCAGCGGACTTTCATACAAGTACTCCTACTGATCGAGTCCAAGTGTACATAATGTAAAATTTGCTCGAGGCTAACAGACCACGTTAGGCAAACTGTAACTACAATTGGAGCTTTTTGCATGTGTCTTTTTACAATTGGCAGGTGAGTTCTATAACAAGTAACTGTACAACATACACAAGCGTGCAGCCTGCATGACGGAGGCCGGCGTCCAAATGGAAATCTGGTGCGCTCACGTTGTTTCAAACGAAGGAGGCGGGGGGGGGAAGCAGGAAAAATAATTGCACAGTTATAAAGTCTAAAGACTTTTTTGTAAATTGCCAACAGCACAAATATTTTATATTGTTGTTTGTACAATTTTTTTAGAAAATGAAGGAAAAAACTGAGAAAGAGTTTGGTGTTTCAAGCGTGTGTTTATAGTGCCACTGCAACCATGATTTCCAAACTACCGTACAGTTAATGCACAGCCTTGCAGATCAACCTTGTAATATATATGCTGAGCTGAAGATTCCCTGTCAGCATCATGTGTTATAAATAAAAAAAATTTCCTCTTCTTGTAAGAATACAGAATCCTGTCTTTATTTTTTACTCCTGCTGCTTCCTGCAAGCTATGCATTTCCTGCACACATATTTGTAAAGGTGCTTTATTCAAGCAGTGCATTTTAAATGAGAAGTGCTTCTTTAATGCAAGCACGTTTTAAATTGTCACTTTTTTCATTTAAGAAATTCAAGAATGTTGCTCTGTAGTTTATATTTTAATCCCAGACAACATTATTTTGTTATTTTGCCAGTAAAATTAAACAGAATGCACTCAGACATTTGAAGGTGTGTAATTTAGGACTAGCATACATGCTTTTTCTGACAGATATTTATTTTCCTTACAGTTTGCATCCTTAATTAAAAAAGTATGATCTTCATATGTCAATGATGATGCTTCAGTGATTTCAAAGGAACATAAATAAGCTACAGGGAGCAGTCCCATAATGGTCGGAGCTAAATCAAAAGGGAATTAGAAATTCCGATGTGCTTCTCGTTGCAGCAGTTTAATATGTTTATGATTTGTTCCGTTTCATATTCAAAATTAGTTTTAGAGCCAGCCACCAGAAAACATGAGCTAAAATGATCAGCATAATTAAGGCTGTTCATTTGTCAGCCATCTTCCCAGCTGAAATAATGAGGCCTTCTGCTGCTGAGGCAGATGAAAACACCAAAATGCGCTCGTTTCTTTTTTTTTTTTTTCTTGCCCTGCTGCAAATTTGTTGACGATGATGAGCCGAAACAAATGTTTCAAACATGCAATTAAGACAAATGTTTGATCTAAAAATACTAACTTTTACAGAGCTCCTCTTCTTTACAGTTTATCTTATTTGTCATTTAGAAAATTCATTCGCAGTACTTTTGGTCTAGGAGGAGCAAAATTATTTGCTGTAATGTTTTGATTAGGTTTTGTAATTAATGTTTCCATGGAAGGTTGGTGATAATATGTTTCCCCAAGTCTATGTGCATGCTTGTTTGTCCTTCTGTTAGTAAAATATCTTGTGAATCACAGGATGGATTTAAGTTAAACTCTCAGAAAGTAACCATTGAATACATCTACGTGTAACTGATGGATGATGAGAGAAAAAGAGGGAGGGAGAGGAAAAAAAGGAGAGAGGGAGGGAGTGAGAGAGAGAGGGAGAAAGGGAAGAGAGAGCAGGGAGAGAGAGAGAGAGAGAGAGAGAGAGAGAGAGAGAGAGGGAGCAAGAGAGCAGGGAGGGACAGAGAGAGAAAGGGAGTGAGAGAGAGAGCAAGAGAGCAGGGAGGGACAGAGAGAGAGAGGGAGAAAGAAAGAGAGAGGGAGTGAGAGAGAGATCAAGAGAGCAGGGAGGGAGGAACTGAGAGAGAGGGGAGAGAGAGAGAGAGAGTGAGACAGCGAGAGGGAGGGAGAGATATAGTGAGACAGCGAGAGGGAGGGAGGGAGAGCACAAGAGATAAAGAGAGGGTTGGAAGAGAGGGAGGCACAGAAGAGCAAGAGAGGGGGAGTCAGAAAGAGAGAGAACAGGAGGGAGGGAGAGAAAGAAAGAGGGGGAGGGAGAGAGAGATAGCAAGGTAGAGAGTGAGGGAGGCACAGAGAAAGAGAGAGCAAGAGGGGGGAGTTAGAAAGAGAGAGAGCAGGAGGGAGGGAGAGAAAGAGAGAGGGGGAGAGAGGGAGGGAGGGAGGGAGGGAGAG